GGAGTTTTGCCCTTCTCATTGATCGGTAAACTTGGTCTTGGTTGGCTGTTCTTGCTGATCTTCTGGGAGAGGGGCCTGTTGCTGTGGTTTCCAAGTGTCTTTGCCAGAGGTGGAATTGCCCTGCCCTTGCCGGGTCGGGCTAAGTAATCTGCTCGGGTTTGCTCTCGGGAGCCTTTGTTCCCTGCAAGCTTTCCGTACAGCTTTGGGAGACGAGAGTGAAAATGGTGGCCTCCCAATCTCTGCCCCGGAGGAGTCGAGAACTCGGGGCCCCGCTCCTCAGTGAGCCCCCAGAGAAAAGCAGTCAATCACTCCCGTCTCCCTAGTCTCCGGCCACTCTCCATGCTCACCCAGCTTGTGACCGAGCGTTTCTATCTCTGGCACCTGACCCCGTGTGGAGTCTCCAAACCCAGCAGATCCCTGTGGTGCGCTCCCACACCACTCCTCCTAGGGGAGGAAGGGGAGTCTCCCCGGATCTGCTGCTTGTTGGGTCCCTGCTGGAAGAGCAGTGGCCTGACTGTGCCACGGATCATGGTTTATGGCAACCCTGAGCTGAGAGTCCACTCCTCGGCTCCGTCTCTGCAGCCAGCTTCCCTGCTCTGATACCTGGGAGCTCTGCCGCACTCAGGCACCCCCGGTCTTTCTGTCAGTCTGGCAGTTTTTTTATAAGATTAAACACACATTTACTTTATGACTTGGTAATTTCACTGCTAGGTATTTATCCAATAAAAAAAAAAAGGTGTAAGGATATTAGTGGCAGCTTTATAACAGTCAAAACCTAAAAACAATCTGAATGTCTATCAACCAGTGGGTGGATAAACAATTTATGGTATATCCAAATACAGGGATATTACTAAGCAATATAAAAAATGAACTACTGACACAGGCAACAACATGGATAAATCTCAAAAGCATCATTGTAAGTGAAAGAAGCCGAACACAAGAGCATATACTAGATGATTCTATTTGTTTGAAATTCTAGAAAAGTTATGGTAATAGAAAGTGGGGGAGTGGAGACTGGGGTTGGAAGGTGGGTTGATGGCAAAGGGGGAGGGAACTTTATAGGTTAATGAATATGTTTTCTTCCTTGATTGCACTGGTTGGTTGTGGTTATAGGTGTATGCACCTGTCAAAACTCGCTGAACTCAACTCTTATAATATGGATGTTTATATTGTATTAAATATTTCAATGAAGCTAATTTTATAAAAGAAATACAAATAACTTTTAGACATATGAAAAATTCCCAATTTCACTATAAACAGATAAATGAACATTAAAACTACACTTAGATGACCATTCTCAGCTATCATTTAGTAAAAACACAAAAGCTTGACAATATATTCAGTTGGTGAATTCTTTAAGAAATTGGTTTTTACATGCATTGTGGAAGGAGAGGAAAGTGGTACAATTCTCTCTGAGGAGTATCTGGCAATATCTACCCAAATTACAGATCCATCTACTCTCTAATCCTACAATCCCATTTCTGTGACTCTATCCTACAGAAACACCCACATATGTGTGCAACAGACTAGAAACAACCCAAGTGTCCATCAAAAGGAGACTGGTTAAATAAGTACATCCACACAATAGAAAGCTAGACTGCTCTAAAGAATGAGGAAGACTTTTTTATATGATATGGAAGGATCTCTAGGAGCATTTTAGTAAAAAGAAAAGGAAACCAGGAAAGGAGGAAATCTGAATAAATATTCAAAATTTTTATATTTGAATAAAGAAATACTGAAAGGATAAATAAGAAGCTAATCAAAATGGTTACTAAAAATCGCCTTTTTAAAAAAGATTATTTATTTATTTGACAGAGAAAGAAAGAGAGCAGAAGCAGGGGGAGCAGCAGAGGGAGAGGGAAAAGCAGGCTCCCCGCTGAGCAGGAAGCTCAACATGGGGCTCGATCCTAGGACCCTGGGATCATGACCTGAGCCAAAGGCAGATACTTAAGCGACTGAACCAACCAGGTGCCCCTCAATTTGTTTTTAATTAGAGAACTCTGAGTTCTTTTTTTTTTTTTTTAAAGATTTATTTATTTATATTAGAGAGAGAGTAGGAGAGTGTGAGCAGGGGAAGGGGCAGAGGAAGAGAGAGAGGGAGAGAATCTGAAGCAGACCCCCCACCGAGCAGGGAACCTGACTCGGGGCTCAATCCCACGATCCCAAGATCATGACCTGAGCTGAAATTAAGAGTCAGACGGTCAACCAACTGAGCCACCCAGGCACTCTGAGCACTACTTAGTTCTTTGGGAATAGTTTTGGTAAAAGTTACTGAAGTCTTGCCTAGAAATTCCTTCTTTCCTTCCCTCCACTCCTCTCTTCCACCTTCTCTGCTTTTCCTCCCTTCCTTCCTACAAAAATGCACTGCTTCTATGCAAGAGGGTTTTGGAAGACAAGGAAGGATACTAGTTCCTTGGGTCAGAGCTAAGAATCCTATAGCTGTAGTTTCCATGATACCTAAGAGGTCTGGGCTATAGGGCCCAGGGAGCTACAATAAAAACAAGTTCAGCAACAAGGGATGTCACTCATCTTAGGTAAGTAAGAGGAAAGCCCCCCAAAGCAGTCTAGCCCCTTGCCCTGAGTGTCTGACACAGCCCTATCTAAAACATACAGGCTCCTGCTTCATTCCAGCTTGAGGTTGATCACTTTGCCCACCACTTCAGAGGCTGATCATGCTGAAAAGACCAGACACCGTGCACAGCGTCTAAGCCTTTCTGGTTCTTTACCATAGTTTATTACTTTTAAGTGTGACTCCAACTACCCACTCCCCCATCATTGGTTGATTCTATAAATTGACTTCATTTTGATGATTAAAAATGCCCAAATTGTATCTTTGTAAGATTCCCTTTTTTTTCTTTAAAAAAGATTATAGTCCATTATATTCTTCATATAAATTTTCCCTGTGGGAAAGATGTGAACAGTAACACATCCTCTGTACCCCAGTTTCTTCCTCCACTTTAACTGGCCAAGCAATAGAAAAAGGCAATTAAGAGGTGAGGAGAAATGATCAGCACAATCACTCAGTGTACTCTGCAAAAATGCAACTCACTTAAAAATTCTAAATCAGAAAGAATAGACTTTAAAATATTTGTTCTTTCTGTTCAGCACCCACAGTTTTCCCATGGGAGTGGTTTCCAAGTTGTTTATTCTCTTGAGATTCATAAATCTCTCCTTTAAGTCTTCCAACCTTAAATACAAAAGCATTTTCAATATGAGAGTATGGGGTTGGGGAAGTGGTTTGCTTTGTTTTTAAAAGATACAAGTAATACATGAATACATTCTTCATGAAAAAATTTCAAACAACACATAGATATATAGAGTAAAAAGTGAAATTTTCCTTCACATAACCTTACCCCACAATCCCATTTCCCTTTCCAGAAGTAACACTGTTTGGGATATACCCTTCTTGAATTTTATCATGCATGTGTATACATGTATGTGTATGTATTCAATATATAGGTATATGTTGGTATTAAATATGTAAATGTAAAAAGACTAAGACAACTCGAACAGTTGTTGTTTATTCACTCTTTTTATGACTGCATTTTTTAAATAATGATAAAATATACATAATACAAAATTTACCATGTTGACCATTTTCAAGTGCAGAGTTCAGTATTATTAAGTACATTCTAATTATTATGCAAACATCACCATCATCAATCTCTAAAATTCTTTTCATCATGCAAACTGAAACTCTATGCCCATTAAACAAGAACTCCCCATTCTGCCTTTCTCTTCCCCAGCCCATGGCAACCACCATTCTATTTTCTGTCTCTATGATTTTGGCTACTCTCACTACCTCATAAAAGGGGAATCATACACTAGTTGTCCTTTTGTGACTCACATTTCAATTAGCATAATGTCTTCAAGTTTCAGCCATGTTGCAGCATAGGTCAGAATTTCCTTCCTGTTTAAGGCTGAATAATATTCCATTGTATATTCCACATTCTGTTTATCTATTCATCCCTCAAGGGATACTTGGGTTGCATCAGCCTTTTGGCTGTTGTGGATAATACTGCTATTTACATGAGTATGCAAATATCTATTCAAGTCCCTGCTTTCAATTCTTTGGGTATAAACTCAAAAGCAGAACTGCTTGATCATATAGTGATTCTACATTTACTTTTTAGAGAAAGTGCTATTCTGGTTCCTATAGTGACTGCAGCATCATTTTTCACTCTGAACAACAATGCACAAGGGTTCCAATTTCTCCATATTACCATCAACACTTGTTATCTTCTGTTGTTTTTATAAGAGCTATCCTAATGAGTATGTATTCATTCTTGTAACAAAATTACTTGAAAACTTAGTATAGCCAGGTGCTGTGTGAGACATTAGAGATATGATTGCAAAATGAATATAAACTAAAATTGAAGACATATATCCAGAACTTGGAAGTACATATTAAAAATCAATAAATTAATGGGCGCCTGGGTGGCTCAGTCATTAAGCGTCTGCCTTCAGCTCAGGTCATGATCCCAGGGTCCTGGGATCGAGCCCCGCATC